AAATGAACTCAGAGGCATCCACACAGCGAGATTTGAAAGTTCTATTATTTGAGGACGGCAGTTACTTTCTCTTAGTCCTAATATATCATCTCGTTATTCATAAGTATTGTCGTTAGATTTCTACACACTATATTAGTAAGAATACCAAAGCCTTCTCCTGAGAAAAGTCTGTTCCTATCCTGGCCAGAAAGAAGAACAATTTGAGAATTCCTGGGGAAGCGTTTTGAGAACGGCCGAGAGACAGCTTCTTTGCCTAATGATATTGAAGTACAGGGAGGATATTGAAAGAGCCGAAGTCTCAGCCTATGAACAGATGCAGAGCCTTCGGCAGAACTTGACTAAAGAGGAAATGGGACACGTCAAGGAACAATTAAGGGAACTTCGCAGCAGTCTTCTGAAAAGAAGGCAAAAGAAAGGAATGGCCATACTAGAAGGAAATCATGGTCAGTCGGATGGTTTGCGATGGCTCATGACGAAAACACATATTGAGGGCCACCTATTCAGCGAAGAGGATCTGTGTTCGGGACAACGACCTGCGAAAACTACCGGTACGGGGCGAGAAGATTGCCAAGGAGACGAGAAGGGAGTAATAGGACCTACAGACAGAATTATTGGACAATTTGTTAGTGGGAATGTGGTGAATCTTTCCCACCGGACCCTTTCCGAAGTGGGAATAAGCCTCCTCTCGAAGGGTCTGAAATTTTCACCTACTTCTACTGACTTGAACCAGGGGCAGCTGAAGGCGGATCTCGATGTCTCCAAAAAAAGGAATGCGTTTAAGCTGGTTTTTTCGAGATTCTGAGTCAAACCCTTTGGACGTTAATATTTCTAAATTTAAGTGTATGTCCAGCTGGAATCCTCCTACTTCTGATCCTCTGCTAGAATCTTATCTTTCTCAACTTGAAAAGGAGGTGCTGTCTGTCACCACGGATGGTAAGTATAGTAACCTTTCCTCTTCTGAACTTTCTGCGTTGAATAATTTTAAGTGTGATAGGAATAAAGTTATCAAGGAAGCGGACAAGGGCTCAGCTGTTGTAGTTTGGGACAGGGGGGGGGGGGGTTACATAGAAGAGGCTAACTGGCAATTAGGTGATAGGAAAGTTTACGAGGAGATTGAGGTGGACCCCACGATAGACTGTCTTTTTTTGCAGCTGACTGTCAATTAGATAAAGTTTTAGAACGGCTAGAAACTGATGCTCTTATTTTATCAAAATGGTTTCCAGAAAACTTTATGAAATTGAATGCAGGGAAATGTCATCTTCTTACTTTTGGAACAAATCAAGATGACCTTAAGATCAAAATCGGTGAGGCCATTGTTGAAGAAAGCTCTGAAGAAAAACTGCTAGGGGTGATAATAGATAAAAATCTTAATTTCAAAAGTCACGTCTCAAATTTATGCAAAAGAGCCAGCCAAAAACTGCATGCTCTTGCTAGAGTTTCGCCATTTATGGGTTCTGATAAACTGCGTCTCCTAATGAACAGCTTCATAAAAGCTCAGTTTAGTTACTGCCCCCTAATTTGGATGTTCCATGACAGATGTCTGAATGCTAAAGTAAATAAAATCCACGAAAGAGCACTCAGAATTGTTTATAAAGACAGTCATGCTGACTACGAAGCATTGCTGACTTTGGATAATGCAGTATCAATTCACCAACGCAATCTACAGTACTTGATGATAGAAATATACAAAACCAAACATAACCTGAACCCTAGTTTCATGAGTGAGATTTTTGAAACAAGAAATGTACATTATGATTTGCGAACTAAAAATAATCTTTGCATTCCAAAAGCCAGGACAACTTCTTATGGTATAGAAACTGTGAGATATTTAGGTCAAAAACTGTGGCAAACACTACCTCACAGTATAAGAGAGTCCCAATCATTGGCAACATTTAAAAAAGAATTAAGAGCACACCCTATAGAATGCGACTGTAGATTGTGTAAAAAAATTTATTGCTGGGTTAGGTTTTATTTAGAACATTATACCTTAAACCTTTTTAATATTGTATCATATATTTTTATTTCATACTAACTCTTTATAGATAGTTGGCCTTAATTAGCTTCTTTATAGCTATCAACCGTTCATTTAGTACGCCAACTTTAAACAAATTATTTATTATTATTTATTATTTATATTATTATTATTATAGAATTGGGTAAGGCCGGTAATAATAGGATTAATGAGTTAAGGGTGGAGGATCCCGGGTTAAAGGAAATGATTTTCTTAAAGTAAATGAGGGGAAACTAGGTTGGGTTTATTTGTTACCTAAGTTAGGTGAAATAGTTAGGTTTTGTAGACAGAACTTAGGCACCGCTATAGGAACTAAGTTCGCTCCAGCTTATGCAAACCTCTTTATGACTGGGTTGGAAGAAAGATTGTTGAAGGAATCAGTGGAAACACCCATTGTCTGGATGAGATTCATCGATGATGTTTTCTTCATCTGGACACATGGCGAGGAGAAGCTTGAGACCTTCATCAACTTTCTTAACAGTAGCAACGATACCATTAAGTTTACAAGGGAGCACTCCAGGGAGAGTATAAGTTTTCTAGACGTTAAGGTTAGTGTAAGTGAGGGGGGAGTCCTAACGACAGACTTGTTTTGTAAACCTACTGATACACATCAGTATTTACATAAGAAGTCTTGTCACCCATGGCATACCATGAAGGCGATACCCTATATTCAGGCTTTAAGGTTACGTAGGATTTGTTCGGACAATCGCCAGTTACGGGATAGGAAGGCAAGGGGGTATGAGGAATCACTTATAACAGAACATATAGATAAGGCACGTAGGCAGGATAGGGTTACACTACTGGATAAGGCTAATGGGGAACATGAACACAGTGGGAATGGGCGGGTTCCGTTTGCTCCCACATACCATCCAGCCTTGAATAATTTGGGCAAGGTGGCCGGGAGACTTCATTTTATGCTTACAGTATCAGAAGGTAGGTGTTTCCTCAGCCACCTTTGATATCATTAGAGAGATGTAAGAATCTTAAAGATATACTAGTTAGGGCTAAACTTCATAGTGAGGGGGCAGGGGTTTCGCAGAACAAGGGTTGTGCTCCGTGTGGCAAGTCTCGGTGTCAAGTGTGTAATGTTATGTGTGACAGTGATACTTTTACTTCCCATATAACTGATAAGGAATATAAGATAAATTTTTCGTTTAATTGTGATTCGTCCAATGTTGTGTATCTTATGGAATGTAAAGTATGCTACTTCCCTTCCATTCTTTGCATTCTACATTTATTATACTTATTTACCTAGTTCCTTATTTTTTTGGGACAGACAGCATTCACCGTTTCTTTTACTTGGACTTTTCCGTATGCTATACCATCTGCTTTCACATTTGTTCTATCGTTCTTTTATCTATTGTATTTATCCATCTTTTCTCACATCCGGCTGGGCTTAGAAACGATCATTATGTTGTTAAATTAGATATTATTGTTCTTGCTTGTAAAACGTGTTACCTTTTGTTCTTTTGTTTCATATTCCTTATTTTACGCTCCAGATGTGTGTGTTAGTTATTCTGAAGAAGCTTATAGCGAAACGTCAACCAAGTTGTTTTTTTATTGAGTATCTATTTATATTTTTAAAAAACTTGAGAGATAGGAGCTATTGAATACATATATATTCTTCGTATATATATATATATATATATATATATATATTACCAGTATTCTTCGTACATAGTGACAGGATTCCTACCTTTTAGGTATGGCTTGAACTTTGCAAGCTATAAAAATGAAACTTGGCTTTCTGGCGTTAATTGACGTACTGAATATTTGACGTGCAAAATGAATTTTGAGATGCAAAAACAGCTTTAAAAATCAAACGGAGGCAATTTTTAGACTACGGTACCTGTACCCAGTCCTCTAATTCGAGCATTCGTCTCTTTATCTTTGACGCTTTTTAGAGACAAGTCCCAAAGGTTCATTAATATAAACTCTGTGAGTTGTAGTAATATGGAAAGAAATACTCTCTTCGAATAACAACAAGATCTGCAATTCTAATGTGCATCTAACGTGCTCACATGCTTGCTTATTCTAATTAATCCCTTTACCCCTGTGTCCAATAAATAACATACGTCATTGCTACAATTAATTTGTTTCTATTGTCAAGCTTTGCCTCACACGATTCTCAGCGGATTGTCAAGCGCATTGTGCAGAAGACATGAACACCTGGGTTTTTATTTTCGGAGAGTTTTCGCAGGTCCTTCAACTCATCATCGAATTTTCACAACTTTTTGACCAGATTGTGTTTCTTTTATCGTGTCAATTGAATCAAATAGAAGTTTAACGCCTTTTATTGCATCATCGACTGCTGAAATTTATGTTTTTGTTTCGTGTTGTCTTTCTTTATGCATCTTGCATGGAAGAATTCGGTGCATTGTTTGTTGTTAAATTTGATTTATCTAGCATTGCGGAGATTGAAACGTTTACGAAATTTTAATAAATTGTATTTCTAACACGTCTTCAACAACGAATCAAGTCATGACTGGGTAGTGATCTGCAGGATACTACAAGGATCATTTCTAGGTTCACTCTTGTTCATAATCAACAAATTGACCTCTGATGCAGCCGGGATCATCAGAGACAATTTGGTGTGGTTGTTGTATCATTTTTTCACTTTTAGAAAAGAAATGAAACTACGATAGTTTTTTATGACCAAGACAAGGAAGGGAATGCATGCATTGATTTTACAATGCTGAAATAATTTTTGGTGATACAAAATTAAATATCTCTGGAAAGAGAAAACAATTTGAAATGTACTCATGCCTTTCGGCTGACTCTCTCAAGAGTATGAGACCTCAGAAGGTAGAACAAAAACTACAAGCTAGGAAAAACATATTCCCAGTTATGAATCGAAATAGATCCATGAGAAACGCGAGCACATGACTGCGAAGTTTGCCCAATCAGTGCCGCTTGCCTATTGAAAATGTTGGCTATTGTCAGAGCTTCAAAATGTAGAGATGGCAAAAATGTTGAGAGAAAAAGCAAATTGAACAACTGTTTTTATTTCATTTCTTCAGATGGCATTAATACATACCACACCAAGGCCCAACGAGTATTAATAAAAGCAATCAACGATCCCGTTATAAATGGGAAAACTCTACATAACATCGCACGCTTGATAAAGGAAATATAATGCTGGCTACTGTTCCAACAAATAGCTTACTGGATCTTTATGGTCAAAGTAATCTGATTTCATTACTGAGAAACCAAACATCTCTTTTTAAATGCTGCTTAGAGGCAGAATTTATTCAAAAACAAAGGTAAAATCATGGATGCCCTTGTGCCAGCCAAGAGACAACAGCAATCAGTTTGGATTAAAGCCGGGTAGTAACATGCACGGGCTACAGATAAACGAGTAAGATCAACGCATTTTTTTGAAAGTTACAAGATTTTTGGACATACGAAATAGGACATACGGATTTACGGTTTTGTCAAAGGAAGACTATGCCCGAACTATAAGGGGTTTGGAGGGGGGATGGGGGGGAGGGGGGTCTTGGGGCCAGGACATAATGGACAGAACCATAAATGGCATTACATACTAAAATAACATTTTTCTATAAAGGAAACATTTAACCTCAGATGATCTGGTAAAGAAACACTAAAATGTGGAACAGCCAGCCATATTGTAACTTTAAAAATCGATTAAATGAACCATGTGAAACAAAAGGAAACTATAACAATAATGCTACTGTTTTACAACTATTTCTACCTTGTATAGCTCTTTGATCTGGGTAGAGGCAAAGGGGTGAATCTCTTTAGGGTGTCAAAAGATCCTTGCGATTCGTGCATGTTTTTCTATAATTAGACACACCTGGCAATCAAGAAGCTAGGGAAATCTACACAATGACGTAAAGATATAGATTTTGGATCAAAGTCCTATCGCAAAAACGCGAGGGCGCGCGAGGGCACGCGAGGGCACGCGAGGAACACTTGAGAACAGACTAAAAGTGCTGTAGACCTATCAAACTATAATGTCAATAAGATTCACAGAGAATCCTATAACCTTTGCCTCGAGCCCTTGCAAAGATCTACAGCGCCTTGTTACTTAGTTGCATAATCCTTGAAATAATAAAACGTAACTTCTAATTTAAATCAGTTACAATTATAGGGCGAAAGATGAAAATTAATATTAAATATTCCATGTTACGACGACTCTTTAGGTCCAGCTTTATCACTAATCAGACGAATCTTTCATTTTTAATAAGGAGAAGTATGATATTACGTCAACTAATATTGTATCTGTTACAGTAAGAAAGAGTAGCCACGTCGAGGAATACTTTACTCTTCCAACAAGGGTGCATGCGTGTGAAAGGGACGATGGCATCAAACAACAGCGTTTATTCAGGACTAGATAACATTTCAACTCATGCCACAGCCAGCAAATCCAGGAGGGCATAATCAAATACAATAATGTTACAACTTCTGTCGCTATTAGAAGAGGTGTGTTGATCAAAAGGAGTGTTCAGCTTTATTAACAACTTTCAAAACGTGGAGTAATGGTTTTGAATTGGCGGGGGTCCAAAAAAACATACAGAGCTAAACTAATGGTGTAAACTGTGAACTGCGAAATAAAAGGACAAGGGTTGGGAACAAAAATTGGAGGCGGTAAAGCAAATTTGCGTACGTGGGACAGAGAAGAAGGAGGACAAGTAGGGGACCATAAAGTATTAGAATATAGAGGTATACACACATTAAAAGCCTACCAGAAGGTTACGCTTTTAGGTGTATCGAAAATGCATAATCTGGGTTATTACTTCAAGTGACTCACGTTGATAGTGAAAAGGTTTTTACGTAATTGCTGAATTTAACTCTTTGCAAGCCCTAAAAGCGAACGAGACTGTGATGCTTCATAGTCTACAGACAGAATCTTAGGAAGCATTGTTTCTGTAAACGCCAGGCAATCATGCCCTCTTACTGGGTAGCTTTGCCGTCATGTGATATAAATTTCAACCAATCAGCAATGCGCATTGCTTAAGCTGGCTGTGATATGAAAATACTAAATATCTAGAGAACAAAGCCACTCTAATCGTGCTGGATATATGACAGCACAGATAAATGGATAGCCTAACATACATATTTGAGATAATTTATTATCGGCCAAAGCTAATTATGATACAGTATTTACAAGTAGTAAGAGTCATATAATCACTCTTGTCAACATTACTGCTCGCAACAACAGATTAACAATTAGAAACCTATGCAACTCTAACAAACTAAAACAATTGAACACTAACTACAATTAACGACAAAAATCCTAACACTGCGTTAAAACTAAGCCGTGCTGCAACAACCTCCATCTTTTAAAACAATGCCAATAGCAATTAAGGTAAGGGTTAGGGTTAGGGTTAGGGTTAGGGTTAGGGTTAGGGTTAGGGTTGGTAAGCTCTTAAAACAACCAACCTCGAATGCATGGAGCATTTGAAAAACAAGAAACAATTAGCATCAAAGTCAGACTTCTGAAACTTATGCTGTTGAAATTTGGCAATCAAAACAAAAACGCAAGTGCGGAACACGGCAAAAACAACAGCTTATTTTGCATTACAGGTACACTTTGACTTATTTCACATTTTCTTCAAGTAAAACACAAAGCGCTTATGGAAGGCTTGATCTTGTTCAGCAGAATGTGATTTCTTCAACCACTAAAAATCAGCAATTCGAATCAGGTTTAAACATTGTTTCCTCCCTGCGTTGATCTAGATGCCAGAATTCGAGACGCTTGCCTAATTATACAAATCATTTTTGTTTATTTTATGCTTGTCCCTGTACTGTTGATTTAGTCAACTACTGCTCGAAAAATTTGCCACCACATTCCATTTGCTAACGGATTAGGTAATACAACATCGGTGTCTATAAGCTGTTGTTTTCCTGACACTCTATTGGTTAACAAATCAAGAAAGAGGATTGTTTTGCAAGACTGAGGCTACATTGACTTATTTGGCTAAAATATAATGAAAACCGTCTTTAGGACAGCAACTAAAACTTGCCACAATAACATTTCAAAAACTTTAAAAACAAAGACACATCAGTGATAAATTATTTTAAATTATGCAATAATTTGGTTTTACAAATTTTAAGATCGTAATACTACAAATGTTAAGACTGAAATTTAACACTCATAATGTCAAAACCATATCAAACTGTCAGAACAAGCATAAGTCCTGCTGGCATTTTGGCAACAGAATCATAACGATAAATTAAAATGTTTTCTTTAAAATAGAGTACGTTAAAACATAGAACTAAAATTTCACTAGATGATGGTGCAAATACTAAACTAATGACCTGGATGCAGCTTAAACTAACATTAAAATATAGGTAATTTTCAACAATACCAAACTACAGACGGTGTGGTCCGTAATATGTATATGCCAGGTATGCACTTGATGGTTCTACAGGCTGGTAGCTAGGATGGCTGAGCACTGACCCCGCGTAGCCAATGTGATGTACACGCCTCTGCGGGGAGAGCTGGGCAGCTGAGTATGGAGAAGAGTGTAACTGCCCATGTCTTGCCAACCTCGCAGCACTGTTGTCGACAATCGAGTTACAGGAATGAGCCTGCGACAAACCATTCACTGTTGGAGTCATTAAGTAACCATTCTGTGAGAACTGGTCATTCGCTGCTCCATTTGGTACGGTAGCTTGCATGTGAGGGTACACAACGGAGCTCTGGGCGTATGTACTTGACCCAGGGGACAGGAAGCAAGGGTGTATCAACTGGACACGAGAGGGGGAGCTGGCAGTGGATGTCATAACAGCACAAACGGGACTGAAGGCTGTTTGGCTTGAGGGTAATTGGGGAATCAAGCCAGTGATACCTTGTCTACGAAATGGGTACAAATGGTTTGTATTATGGTTTGGGGAACTTAACGCAGTATTATCCGGGGTGTCTTGATCCATTCTTGCCACAGTTACTGGAACGTGCAAATAACATAAATTTGATGAAATGTCTCCTAGTGCACCTTGTGTTTGCTGACAACAAACCCGATGGTTTCCTGGGCTTGACTTCGGCTGCATCAAGGATGAGATACTGTGCTGGACTAAAGATCGCTGCGGAGAAGTGCGCAAATGGTGCTGTTGCTGCTGATTATGGGTAAAATGGGGCATACTAACAGAGACAACACTTGGATATACTGGGCTCGGTGACTGCATTGATGTGCTCTGCTGCAATTCACAAGTATCTACGGCGTCTGGGCTTGGGATTTCAACTTTTGTCCTTGATTTTGCTAAGAGACCACAATTAACATGTTGCTCATCACGTTCACCTTCATCGCTTGAGCTGGATATTGTAATAACGCTGCGCTGGGGGCTTGGGCTGTCCTGCACGTAAATCGGAGATCTTCCCAAAGCTTCGCCTACTTCAACTTTGGCCAAATGACCCAGATGGTGTTTTGGTGACAGAGCACCGTTACTGGTACAGGTTGAAGCCTTTGTCCGAGGTACGTGCAACTGCCACGGGGGCACGGTAAAAGTATTCCACATACTCCAATGGCTCGGTGCACAAATTGGGCCCAAGTGTGGTTTGACAGGGTTACCGGCATCCCCAGGTCTTCCCCAAGCATGTCCTAGTCTCTGTGGACTGTGACTTAAATGCTGTCGAGGAACAAAACAATCTTCAATGTTTTTCTTCATAAAGAAATCGAAATTACGTAAATGCTGTTGACCTTACAAACGCAAAGTGAAATCCAACCACAATGGTTGTAGCATTTCGAGAATTGGCTATTTATAAAGCGAGTTGAGTTCCATTAAAATAAAAATCTCCTGGATAACGATGAAGACGTATTTCATTAATGAAAAGGCAATATTTTCTTCTTTGAAGAAAGAAAATTAATTAAAAACAAACGAAATTGTATATATACGAAAAGTTAAATACATACAAAGGATTCCAATTCAATATTTTTAAGCACTGGATGTCAGGAAGAAAGGGCTAGATTAAATCTTTAAGAACGGAGATTATCCAATAAACGAAAGCCATTTCTTGATAAAACAGACCTCCTTTCTCTGCCTTACAACAATTTGCAAACATTATTCGAAGGATTTAGAGAAGCTTTTCATTTCGAGCAATTACCCTCAAAGGGATTTCCTTTTCGCGATTCAAAAGCTTATTCACGAAGAAATCAATCCAAGCTTCACTAGAATTTGACATTCCCTCAGCACGGTCTACCTTTGTACTTCCGTTCTATCACCGTTGAGTTTCAACAAATCATGTATATCAAATATCTTTTATTCTTTCTTTTCTCAAAAACATTGTAATCTTAAGTATCTTTCAGCATCTATAACGCTTTTCTTTTAAAAGATCAAAACAAACGAGCATAACATATGAAGGAGATATACTAGCTTGGCACTAGTCTTAACGAATAGCGAAAAGAGACTTGTATATGTAAAAGGCGCAGTTTCAAAATAAGCAGATCATAGAATCACGCATACCTGGTTAGGACTCGGCTCTGCAGACATGTAGCCCACGTCTTCAGGTACTGATCTCCATGAAACAGGGGGGAGTGGGATTGTTGACGGAGGTGGCGGCTGGTGGGTACTTCTGTTAATGAAAAGTCCATGTAAAATTCAAAAACCTACTGATATTTGTATTAATGTTTTTCTTTGCGTTGACATATATCAAAATATCGGTTTCAATAATGACCAACCCGACCAGACTGATTATTTAAAATATCACTAAAACGATATAACCCGGTCTTTCAATCGTAAACACACTGTTTTCTACATTTAAAGCTTACACGCCGGAAATGTAAAACTTGTACCAGAAGAAACATCCAACTGTCAAATTCGATTAAGACGGTAAAATCAAATTATATCAATTGTTTAAACGTAATAACACTAAAGTTTACAGTTCATAAGATACAAATTTCTATAGAAAGGAAATTATCTTATCTCGAAACATCTTTTTAATTTCAATCTGCAAAGAATATTTTTTGAGTCAATTAAAGAGGCACATAATCCTATGGCTGAAATTTTCGTTCTTCCTTTCTTTGAACGATGTCTTTTATAAACTCAGTGTTTCGTTTCCGTCATCTTTCCACAACACAAGCACATAAATTCAAAATCAAATTTAAACATTTGTCAAAGGTACAGTATACCAATATAATATTAAGAGCTCGATACAACAGTTATCGATACGACAATTGCAACCATACATCAATGGAACCTAAGAATTCATACCTGAATAGGCCGTCTTTTGAAGCCGACGCAAAGCCGGTATTGAGATGGGACCCGGAAAGGAGATGAGGCTAAATAGGAAAAAATTATTAGTTGCAAAAATATCATTAGCTGTTTAAGAAGAAATAAAATTTATTGACAAAGCAGGCATCACATTCTGAGGAATTTCGATCATCACCTAAGGAATATCGTCAATGTTCTAATTTGCGCTTAGCATCTTCAAAATAATTTAGTCATAAAATATCATTTTCTATTTTTGACCACATAACCGAAAAAATTACCGTTAAATACCTCAATTTTTAGAAATAAATTAAACATTAATTAGATGAGATATGGCCGATGAAGGAGTTTTTGTTTTCTAACGGATTGCTGTTGTGCTGGCTTCGTTTATCATGTTATAAACAGAAACCAAGATTGAGTGATTTGATGGGAAAAGAGACGTTACAATATTTCAGTTAGTTTCTAAGGCATTAGGTGATTTTGCACATGTAGGGCTATTTTATGATGTGTGAAGTAAAGAAAGCCACTGACACCTCAAACAGTCGGCTGTAGACCGGTTTCGCCCCATATCAGGGCTCATCAGTGCAGCTAGACTGAATGCGTACTCCGTTAACACTTAACTACCTCCCACTTGCATTGCCACTGACAGCCTAATTGCTGGCCCTAGGTCGGCTTTAGGTCCTCATTCAGTCTAGCTGTACTGATCTACAGCCGGTCTACAGCCGACTGTTTGAGGTGTCAGTGGCTTTCTTTACTTCATACTTCTACTGCAACTCTGTGGGATGGCATACAGTCCGCCAAAACCTCAGCACTGCTTTGCGGTGCGGTTCTTGGTGATACTGCTTGAAGAGACTGTCGAGTCTCTAAGACTCATGCGTACTTCTTTTCACTATTTTATGATACTTTTTCAGGCTATTAGTTCCAAAATCAATAATTCTTAAAAACATATTTTTGTGAAATCATTACTTAAAATGCTAGTCTAACATGAGGGTAGCATCATTTGACCAAGGGGTACAAGCATTTCAAGACAACTGGAAGCTTGCATTGAAGGCAATTTCTTGAAGGGAATGTGTCGTGAACATGGTTGGCTAGTGCAAAACAATTAGTTTGTTTGCTTAGTATCAAAGGCGAGCTTAAATAAGAATAAAAATGAAAAGTATCGAAACAATGGAAATTCACTCCAAACGTGTTTGTTTTACTAGCCAACTGTTAAAGGCAGTCTGTCCCCTCAATGATTGGCTAATATGAACAATTGGTCATCTTGCCTTAACGGATTACGCTGCTCGCTTTGGCTGGCCTATCTGCGGTAGTGGCTTGAAACTGCGAGCAAAAAGCTATCCGAAATGGCATAAAGATTTAACTACTGGAATTGAATGATGATAATGGAAGCATTTTTTTCACTGTTGACATATATGTCGCAGAAACCAAGCAGGGAACCAAATTTTTTAGCCACAGCTTCACTACAACGGGAACACAGTCAATTGGATCAAAAGCTCTGGAATCAAAGTTGTCTTTGATTGGTTTAAATCGTTTATTTATCGATTAAGCTCAACGGTGCGCGAATTTCACTCCCGTGTTGTGCCAAAGGGGACAGACTGCCTTTAATGAGACATATGCGCTTACACCATTGAATTGGTCAACAAGAACTATTGTAAATGACGATACGGACAAAAATTGTGAAAGATCAACATATCAAACACGTTAAGTGATAGCTAAAACTCAATCAATCAATCAATCAATCAATCAATCAATCAATCAATCAATCAATCAATCAATCAATCAATCAATCAATCAATCAATCAATCAATCAATCAATCAATCAAAAACTTTATTAATGTGTCAAAAAATATTTAGCTTACAAGCTAATTGGGGACACTAACAAACTAACAAAACTTCCACTACATGCGATCGTTCCCATGTAGTTTGCTCACGGTGGGATGAACAAATATTGAGTAAAGAAATTTATGTTTCCAAAGCTTGTAATCTAATTTATGTCTAGTTCCTACATTAGGCCTTTACATGTTAATTTTCAATCGAAATGATAAACAACTTGCTTAAGTGAATCATGAATAGATAAATTTTGAAACTGGAGCTTACGATAAAAAATTGAACTAACATCAAACTTTAAAAGAGGCAAAGACAATTAGATGTGCTTCGTGGAAGGAACTCTTCCACTAAAAGGAACTTGACAAAGGCAATCGACAGAAATAATAGTTGCTTAAACTATCTGCCAATCAAAAAGGGTGTGCGTGATCGATTTTTGATTGAAACATGTCTTGAGCCCTTTTAGCATCTGTAGTTTAAATTTGCAATCAGTTAACATACCTGGATTAGGTGTTGATGAGAAGGAGGGAAGAGAATTTCAGTTCCATGGCGCTCTGCTGCTGACAAAGTTGGTATGGCGACTGCGCCAGCTTTTCTTTGCGCCAATGTTTGTGATTTGTAATAGGCGATCATATCCATTGCGTGGACTGAGGCCTGGACGCTGGAAATTAACAGTTCAGAGTAAAAATGAAGCAGGAAACACAGATTTACATAGCTAACAATTTGGTGTTAAAAAGAGTATTCTAGGAATAAACACGAAATGACAAAACATTTTCAATTATTCCGCTATCAAGCAGTAAATATCTACATTCGCCAACAATTGAAAACTTCCGTTGGGATCAATTTGATTCCGAGAAAACGAATCTACCCGCGCTTTATTGCAACGAATGCCTTGTACTGAGAAAACTGGATGAAAGATCCAAACTTACTTTCTACAATAGAGAAATTGTGACATATGCGTAAAGGTGAAGAAAGGGTGCCTCAGCATTTCGGCTGGCTTTATACGTCTGCCTGGATCTAAATCCAACATCTTTTTCAACAAGTCGACAAATACAGCCCTGAAAGGTACAAGAATATTTTGTTAGGCAATGCAAGATTATTAATACAACGCAAAACAGTAGCTAAGACTTTAATCAAAAAAATCAGAGAAGAATATGAAATATTCATAAAGCTGAGATCGAGTGTTTATGTCACGCCCATAGCTCAATCATCAACAGCGTGATAAGACAGGCTAAAAAGCTCGTTAGAAACCTTTTACATCTTATGACGTTAACCGTGTAATATAGCACAGTAAACATGCTCAACTTAAGCCAGTGAATCATTTTATAGAAATGAGGATATGTTCACAGTTCTATTGAGGAAGACTTCGAGCAGATGGTAGGCAAAGGTTAATCGACAAAATAGCTTATATACTAGATGCTGTATATCCGAGGGGAAAACGAAGCTATCACGCAATAAAGCCTTAGGGAAAGGGAAAGAAATTGGGGAGAAGAATAACAAGGAAAAATGCAATAACATTTCGAAGTATTTCTACCCAATTTTTTCTTTGAGAAAATAACCTAGCTTTGGTAAGTTTTTCGCTAAGCAGCAAAAGCCTTGACAGCAGTTGGTTATAGATCTACAGCATTTGCCGAGATACCTAGGAAAGACACCTACACAAGAAAACCCCAAAAAGGTTTTGCTACCATGGTAAAACCGGTCTCACCTGTCTATCCTTTCTGCCATCTGCTCATGACCACTCAATGTGCTAGGAAAATTCACCTAGAATGACAAGAGAATTAAGGATGGCGTCAGACTTAGTTCAACAAAGCCAATGGGAAGGAAATGCCCTAAACAAAAGTTAGGGTTGGACTGAATCATTTTCAAAATGGTTAAATGGCGGCAAAGAGTGAAGCATATCAGTGCTTGATTTGTCAAAAAGTGAATAAAAACAGACGATAATTCTTAATCATTCATTCAATTTCAAGTGTCAAAATGTTGCTACTTGAGGATTTTCTGGTCCTCTCCTCTGAAAAGACTAAGATCAACAAGACTTACCAAAGCTATTTCTTCTAAATGATTGAACACGTATCTTTTTCCTTCCTCCTTTCTAGTTTTAGCAGACTCTCGCTCATATTCATCTTGAGACTAAAAAGGTAAAGAGAACCAAATTTGTTACATATATATCAATCAAAAAATAAGGTAAAAGTGTGGGGCTCTCTAGAAATCCATAATTGATCATATTCACCTGGGTCCGATGTAAAGGAGATTTTGCCACAGAATGGCCCCTTGTTACATTCATTCGATAAAGCACTCAATTCAAATTTTTTCTCTCCAATTTTCAGATTATAAATTGATTATTATTTACTATAGTGCCTGCCATTTGTAGTTTATATACAAAAAAATTGTTTTTCACTTTGTGAAACGTAAGAATACCTTGCTTTCGAGATGCAGAACTTTAGATTTAGCTTTAACATTAGCTTTGTCAAACTCATGTTATCCTTCTCGAGGAAGAACATTTGTTGGCAAAATTTTCCAGAAAACCCCTTGAGGGGGGTATCGTATCAAAAGGCCTTGAGCAAGTCCGTTTCGAAGAGAAGACAAGACTAAAGTTTTCTTTTATCGCAACTTTACATTCCTAAAAAACTGGGTTCATGCCAGCAGCCTCATTTCTTATCGATGACTAAGGAAATATATCAATTGGAAATATACAACCCAGTAGCGGCGCCACGGGGGGACTGGGGGGACACGTCCCCCACAGTTCTCAGCAGAACCGATTTTGTATTTCGTCCAAATTCGATGAGAAATGGTTGGGGGAGGGGTAATATTCTGACACCGTACTTTTTGTGATGTAATCCTATGATTTTCAAACCGCCAATTTTCAAACAAATGTTAGTCTTAGGCGTTCCCTTCGGATAAAATTGGCGTTCCCTGTTGGTGAAAGGGCGTTTTCTGGTGGTAAAAGGGCGTGGCTTAAATTTGTTTGGTTTGTCCCCCCCAGAGCTTAGTGGCTGGCGCCCCCATTGATACAACCCATGCTTGTAATGCCATTAACTGAAAATAAAAAAAAACATCATACTTCGTTAATGGCAAATTGAACAGAAAACGGGCCTTCCTCCATTCTCTACAACTATCTATTCTACAAATCGACTCTGACAACGGTTTTTCCACCTTCAAACCCCCTGGTGAATAGTTTAACACGATGACACCGACTCACCTTAAGCATCCACTCGTGTTGCCCATTTGTGTTGATTAGCCTGCGAAAGTATCTACCTCTTTTTGTAGGCGAGGCTGAGTGCAGTAGCCTCTGGTCTGGATGTCCTTCAGTCTGTATGATGTATCGAATCTGTGGAAAATGGAGCGTTGACGTTATTCGTGATTCACATGGATAAACAAGGACACGCTGGTATACTGCAGTAAAATGATCACAGTACAAGATATATTTAGGGGATAACGGTATGTTTAAACAAGCATAAATGTTCAAGCTCATTTCTACTTAACACATAAAGCTTGTCTAACTTTCACAATCTGTCTAACAGTGTGTCTAATTTTCACAATGACATTAAAAATTTAAAGAGAAAAGTAACAGACAAGTAAGAAGATTAATGAATGTAAAATGGAATCAATAAAAAAATGAACATTATATTCAGTGGTGAAAATTAGACTATTTGCAGAGAAATTAAACCCAGTTAGTACTACAGACTATTTATCTTCATTAGGGTTCCCTAACGTCGCTGAGACCAGACATCCCCTGGTGTAAGGCCTCCAAGCCTCACGATCTTTCGAACAACACGGAATTCAATAAGAAATAAGGTCGATGAGGTCTAGGTACGCTATTTATTACTGAATAACGTATTCCTAGTTACTCAAATAGTTTCCGCAAAGTAACCAATAATGATAATGACACGTTTTTTGTTAGTTAATTTTGCCAGCATGCAAAGAAGAACAGACATAAAACCCTTAACATTTCTTACTCTTTGTTAATAAAGATTTTCAATGAAAATCAATGTTTCTTATGCATATTGAAAGAAAATGATTGAACTAGAATTGAAATCAGAATTCAGCTACACTTTATTTGAAAGATAAATAACTTTGGTTTAACTGTTTACAGGCCAGTAGCAAGGATTTACTGAGAGGTTGCTGTCTCCTCAACAAAATTCAAGTTGAAAACTTAAAAGATCGTTGAGGATTTTGCTTTTAGCAGTATAAGTTGTTTAAAATTTGTCGAGCTTCTACATGTCGGTTCATTATAAATTCCTTAGAAATAAAAAAGCGTTTACACTGACAAAAAGCTAAATGGCATGGTAAAACATAACATTTGCAGACAGCAGAGTAGAGATACCGACATTAGGGGGTATGGGGCTGGCTTTCTTGGACAAGTTTTTGAAATCACCCCTACTTTTGTTGCTCAATGTACAGGGTATCTCAGGTATCTCGCAATGGGCATTATGGGCATCCAAGCCTTTAATATTTTGCGAGGCTTGACTAAAATTTAAAAAAAAAAGAGCAGAAACGTCACTTTTGATGACAGCATGGTAAAACCATCGGTCACAAAAGCATGTGAAATAGCTTGGTTGGTCAACGTTGCATATGACATACAAAAAAGGAATCGTGAGATATCTCACGAAAACCTATCTTCTTGAGATGGCTTTATCTCAGTGCAGCAGTGACAACTACCATTCTAAAACTTCAATAAAGACGTGCAGCTTAGCAGTATCTTTCAGTAATCGACCAATGGTCTTAAGGCTTCGAGCTGCTGTTAGCAAAGCTTTTGTTATTGGCTTAATCGAATATCTCAGAGGATTTCGTTTTGAAAACCAACTGCGAGACAAAGCTTGACCGACTTCCTCTTAAGACAGTTTTCCAATCACGGATAATATGCATTCATTTGAAGGTCACAAAGACGTGTCATGCTTGCATTGCGAATGGATTATTAAATGCTCAAAGGATACCACTCTGCGGAGAACATACTGTCATAAGAATACATATTATAAGAATATCAAAGCTCTGAATTCGGAAAAAATTGAGAATCAATTTGGAATAATGGTATAGAGCTTGAATTTTATCGACGAGTTGACATCTTATCTATCTGAGTTAGGTAAATCCATCAAGCCTGTATTATACAGTACTTTTTCTATTTCTAAAACTGCTGGTGATGAAGAAAGAAATACCGGAGAACTTAAATTTCGTTTTCAATTCTTACCACAATTTAAACGTTGTGCGGTTTACAAATGGTTAAAAAACAAACTCAGAGTAAGAATCAAAATGTTTAAAAAAAAGAAGGTTATCAAAAATTAGGGTGTATTTATGGTACCGACACGTACTTTTTAAAATAATGGATTCAAAAAGAATATCGAGAAAAATAGCTAGACTCAAATTTCATCGAAAATTTGACTTTTTGTCTATGTTTGTGTGTTTTTAGCAAACGTAAAAAGCGCGAGTTTCATGCAAAAAGTTGTAATAACAATCATCAAGAATGTATTGTTCGAGTTTGATTTGTTCCCTGAACAAAAATCAAGGTATTCTGACAAAAAAGCTGTGCAACACAGGTGGGGATCAGTGAGAAAATGATTTATATTCTGCCATAAACCCATTACTCACAATTCAACGGCCGTAGTCTTTTCGGGCAGCTCGTACTAGTACTTCTAAAATTGTACCAGTTGGTACACCTGAGGCTCATTACGCGAAGAAATTAAGTGTACTCCCTCTTTCAGTTAATATGCGTATGCGTGGTCAGCATCAGGCCACATCCAAATCATATTCTGTAGACTAGTACCATCCTTTTTAGTGCGCACCGTCACTGTCATGCATGCAAAGTAGTTAGGGGTTCATTGAAGTGTGTATCAAATTGGTAAAGTGGAAAAGACGTGAACATGAACAAGGACAATATTCCCCCAAATTTTTTTAGTAGACATAGATCATGCCAAAAAATCACAAGGACTTTCACTTGAAATCGCTTTTTTGCATGTCCAAAGAAACGGATTAGTAGCAAATGGGAACGTATGTAAACGCCTGCGAAATTTGGGATTCGATCCTAAACTGGATCGGCCCAATTTTCCCCACAGGGACTTGTCACATTCTTAATAAACATTGTATATCCAGCTTACCTGGTCGTATTCGCTTGGGCCAGGGTACAGCGGCCATCCCAAGAACAATTCTGCGGCCACACAACCCAGTGACCACATATCAATTGCTTCATTGAAGGGTAATCCAAGAATGATTTCTGGTGCTCTAAAAAACCAAAAATAGCTATTAACAATAAGGGTAATTTATATGTCAAAATGAGGACAAACTGTGAAAAGAAAAGGGGCAACTAGAAATTGCCTAATGTAAACGTACTGATACATTATACAAAACAAAACAGTGAGATTTGTAAAAGGTGCTAAGTTAGAAACACAGCAAGCTATTTGTATCTTGAACTTGGAAGGGCCCGGTATATTTGTTTGAGATAAAGAAATAGAAAACTTATCAAAGATAATTAGAAAGACTGAATCATTAGAAAGTGAAAAATGGGGAAAATGATGCCACAAATTGTACCCATGGCTGAAACTACTACGCCCGTTTCAGAAAGTTTTAGGCCTAGTTCAAGGAGCAATGTGGACGGGTCACAAATCGGATACCTACAAAAACAGAACAGTGTGAACGGGCATTTAATCTCTACCAGTTTGTAAGACCTCACTAAATCTCTCGAAGATAACTCAAGTCCATGGATTAAAAAGGATTTTTTTGCATGCATTCTCCTATTCTGCTGTAGAAGGCGTATTCTCAAACTTCTCTACGTCTTTTAAAAGCGCCTTTTTTCTTCAGTACGAAACTATAAATTTTGGTATCTTTGTAAAAAAGCCATTGAAAAACAGCCTTATCAACCTCTCTGTAATCACAACGACGCTATTTATCATCTCGAGAAGAGAGAGAGAGAAAGAGAGACTTTCCAAAAAGAGGGTATTCATTACAGAGAAAGTTCACTGTAATTCGTTGCAAACAGACTTAAAATGCAGAAATAGTCTTACGGTCAGTGTTAAGGTACAGCATTTAATAAAGTACAGGTCCCTGAGCATTGGGACAAGCTGAGGCTTCCGCCCAGAAAAAAGTTCAAATGTATGACCTAATTCAATTCAATCATCCCCTACATCTGAAAATACATACGGGGAAACGTTCCATGAAGGTTCTCGATACGAAATGATTTACCAAAGCACAAATCAAACAATCAACACAATCTAGCCAACCAATCACTTTATAATCGAAAAAAATTATTCTCAGAAATATTGGTTTTATAGGTACCTGAAGTGACTTGTGCGTCACATATGTGCACGAGGTAACACCAATATATTGCCCGTTTGGCACTACTGAAGATCGTCAACGATTGCAGGGTGTCATTAGGATAGGGTGGTCTATACATGTAGGTGTGCCTTACATGAAGAACATCACTAGGCAACAAAACAATGAAGGCACCATTTGTAAAACACTTTATTACAAGATAATGTCTTGCTTTCGTGCTAACAATACACAAAGTGACCTAAATGATCATTTTATCACCTATTGATATCGAAGAACAAATAAAGCGTTATGAGAAATTTGGCAAAACCTTCTCTTCACATGGTATTGGTTTACAGCTTTTCTATCGAACATCGTGACACTTTCGACAGACAAATGAAACGGAAATGATTAAAAAGTAAGTTGCTGCCAAAGGCTTTCACGGCAGGCCTTATGATGTCCGTCTTATCATAAAAGCGTGCATTAGTCATTATACGAAATATTGACAATCCCGTTCAATCTGATATCAGAAATCAATGCATCAAAAAAAAGACATCCAAATCACAGCATAATCAGCAGAATTCCGTACCCTTTCCAGAGACCGCGGAAGCGAGGGGCTGAAGGGGGCTATAGCCCCCAAATAATTTCCAAAATATACTTAAAACCTTACAAAAAGGTCCCCTACTCTTGATTTTTAGCATGCTTAGCCCCCTCCCAGACTTTTAGCTCCTTAATCCGCAATATGCTCCGCGGTCCTCGACTCTTTCAAAGGCAAAAATAACAAGAGCTTTCATAAAAAATTATTAAAATAACAGGGCTTTTTATAGCTAACAATTATTTCATTAATTGCCATATGATGTCTCCCTTTACTTCAAGCAATATGTCTTTGGACGGCTGTCTGTTTGTGGATGTTTGGAGCGAATCAATCGGGCTCAGTTGTAAAGCTTGCAATCATCCAATCATTTACCACGGGGAAGAATTTGGGGCAAAAATTACGACTAATTTCCAGCCTAGAATACTTAATCAGCGAAATGGCGTCTTCAAACGATGATTTTTCTTAACCTCATGGCCTTAGGTACAATTCGTTTGAACAAGACTAACGATTTTTCATGGACAGAAAACCGCGAACCAGAGAGTGATTAATGTGAATAATTTATGAATAAGAGCGACCTTTCACAACACAAATTGCGCATACAGCCTGTGAAACAACTGTCAATGGCTTTGAAGACGCAGTCGCCAGCTAACACGTACATTGGAATGTCGTTCCCTGCATTCATTTACATGTGTTTGAGCGCCAATTGGTTGACACTTCAACGTGCCAAAATACAAAAAAACCACGAATTGAATAGTAAAACTAAATCAACCAAATGATGTATTAAAAGCGGTGTTCTAAACCGTCTTAAAAAGCTCCAAGCATCGAATGAAGCAAAATAGCCCTATGATTAAGTCCAAACCCATTAGAATAGCAAGAAAATAGAGGCATGATGGATTGGTGCAATTTCACATTGAAAACATATTTCCAGGTATATTCCAATGAAAGTTGGTAAAATCTTTGCTTATTTGCTAGTAACTTCAACGACCACAAATGGTAAAAACCAACGCCCTTTGATGACTGAAAAGAAACCAAGCGAGGTGTCACACAAGGTTACATGCTATGCCCCTTCCTGTTTAACATTTTAATACAATAATGACAGCATTTGGAGGTAAGAAATTGACTGTGACGGTTTTTTCAAAGTTAGTACAGGCAATAGGTTTTAAATCAAAGAAGCATAAAAATGTGGCTCAGATCGTCAAGTGCTCACCAAGAAGGAGTTATCTAGACTAGGAAAGTTAGGCAATTAAAAAAAATCATCTGTGCAATTAGCCAAACATTTAAATCTAAGAATCAAGTTAAGATGCCATAAATGCAACATCAAAAACAAGTATTCCATGACCTATCGTGGATTAATAAAAACCAACAGAATTAATCATGGCATGGTTTTCCTCACTGTTGTTCACATTGTGGGTGTACTAGCATGCAGATGTAGGTTTTCTTCCACTGGGAAACATATTTTCATAACAATTTCAATACATTTAGTTGAGACCTATTGAAGCAAATAACTCCATTTATGAAAAACGCCTCTAACCAACAGAGATACAGACAGGAAGAATGGCTAGAAAATGAAAGCAAACTGCATGGCAGTTGCCTAACTTGGGCCTTACAAAAGATATACAAGAGAAGGTTTTATGGATGAGGCTTTATATAATTTGAGGATTGAAAGCAAAAGTTAGGAAGATAATAAATTTGTGCACTAGTTTGTCTACTGTGACCACTTATATCTACTGTTCAAGCAATCTAGACCCTAGCCATACTTGCCTGAAATATTTGAACTAAAAACTAAAGATAACTAAATATAGAAAAAGTTTTTTAAAATACTAAGAGCAAGATTGCATAAAGATTGATTTTCTTTGTAAAACTATGGCTCCAATTAACCTACCATTGCTGTTTAATTAATGGCAGTTGCCTGGTGATGGCATTAAGTTTGAAACTCAGAGCAGCAACTTAGAACCGCCCTGTTCTATACACCAAAAGTTTTCCAAGGCCATGTAGAGAGTACATTCCATATTTTCCAACAAATTTTAGAAAAATCTCATGGACTATCAACTAACTTAAAATTATCAAAACAGGATCAGTAATGCATGAGTGTAATGTAACAGCGACTGGCCAAGTGAGGGAAGGATGGAAGATTTGTGTTCTCTGAAAGATTTAAGTTATGTAGAAAAAAAGAGAATATTCATTTTTGCAACAGAACATAAAAAAAGCTAAACAGAGTAAATTCACGAGGAGCAAGAATTTAGGGACCAGCAGTATCATATGTCTCAATGGATATCTAACATTATGTCACAGGCTTAGAAGGAAGACATAGCTATAAATTGTTGTCCACAAAACTAGGCCAAGCCTTGGTGTCTATGCTGTGCACCCATGAAAAACTTATTTTCTTAGCCAATTAACTTGAGAATTGCAACATTCTCATACCCCCCTGTGCTTATTTCTGACTTCAACCAGTATATAACAACCAGTATTTTGCTTTCATTCATTGATTTAATAATTTCACTTTGCACTTGTTTTCCGTCCTGGATGTGATATTTAACTAATGTTTAAACTAGCAAAATTAAGATTCAACCAAACATTTAAAACCAAGTACCCTGACCAAACTCTAATGCTAGACTGCAAATACAAAAATTGTTCTTTGGACAGTGTGCCAAGTAGGCCCTCCAACTTCCATTACTATATAAATATATGGCACTACGAACTACAACACTAGTTTTTCTATGTTAAAAGTGACAAAGACAACAGTCAGAACATTTATAGAATAAATAAGCCTTTTGTTCCACAGACTTTGAAAATTGATGAACTTAATGCTATAAATTGTATAGTTATTTTCATGTTTATCTTACGAGTTATCGAAAAGGGTATGTGCGACATAGAGATGTTTCATCTTCAAACGTTATCAACCGAAAACAGAGTTATTTGAAGATGAAAATGGAACAGCAAAAATGAAGTCATTGGAGAATGGAGTCATTTAAAAACGAATTGTTTGAATGAGACCATCGAAAATGGAGTCAACTAAAAACAAATTCGTTCATCTTCAGTTTCAAGGTGAGCTCGAACAAAGGATATGAAAAAGAACAAAACAGAGTAATTGGAAAATCATTGTTTTTGTTTTGGCTAAAAAGGGTGTGGGCTGGAGCAATCATGCCATTGACAACCCTGGCGTATCGCGCCATTGACAGCCCTGGAGTAGGCACCAGTTTAAGAGTGGAGGGCTGAAATGGGCATGCCCAAAACCTTTTGAGGACAAGCCCACTAGAATGCCAGAAAACACCCCTTTCATAAAATACTTGCTTATTTACACTGAATTTTTATAAACAGTCTGGTTCAAAGAAGATATCAATAACTATGTATCATTAAACAAGAAAAAACACATAGAGAATATCTAACACATGAACTATCCAAAGTTGCGTTAAAGTAAACCTTGCAAAAAATTTTCTAGCCTGTTATTGCAAAAAGTGGGGGGGGGGCTATAGCCCCTGCTAGTCCAACGGCTGGGCAGTGCCTGGGAGGTACGCCCTTTTTTAGTAAAGCGCACATTGTTTTACTGGTTCTCTCTTGAGAAACTTTGGAAAAGACCCCTTTTTTCTAGGGAGCAGTTTCCCTCTCTAATTCTACACTGCCTAGCTTTGCAAAATTTCAAATTCCCAAGCTGGGGGGTTTTGCCCAAGTGCCCAAATACAAAGCAGACAGAGAAAGGTCATTTATAACTGGCAAAAGCTGTTTTGCTTAAAATGAGGCCCCCTTTCTATTGATTCTAGTTAATCTAGAAAAAGCTCACCTAGAGATTACTAGGAGAGCTGTTTACTGTACCCCTGCTAAAATCCTTATGGCCAGGCCTGCTACAGGTCTTCAACTATGAGTTACAACAATATCTTTCTATTCAGTTTGTTACAATGTACAACTTAAACATTCACTCATTTTGTGTTACAAAATATAAAAGTGGCTTTGAAAGAAGCAAACAATTTGAAACATGTCACTAAAGCTTTTCGTCTGACACTCTTAGATGTTTGTACCCAGTTTGCAGTTGTGGAATATACATACCAAGATGTGGATCAAAATAGGCCAACAAAATAAATCATTACTCCTTGGTAAATGTTACAATCCACAAGAAATCGTGTCATTATGAGCTTTAGAGTTATATTGGGCCAACAAAAATAGAAATAGTTAACATTTCCTAGAGTATCCTTATTTCTATCCTTATTTCTATGATATATTGTTAAGAACACAGTAAACGGTTACACTTTTTAACAAGAACCATTAAATTGAGGCTCAGATTGGCTACTCAGAATTTTTGCAGAACTTTGAGGCTGGGTTTTTATTAGATTGGTTTTAAACTTTTAGGGTGTAAGCAGGGCCATATTAGGATGTTCAGGTGCAAACCAATAAAGTAGGCAATCAACTAGTTACCTGCAGGCAAGTTTGAAAATTTGTTGGCAAAGTTTTTCTTCGAAGTCAATAAACTCCTTATTTTGAAACAGAATCATTTCTGAAGGGGGTGTCAGCCCCCCCCCTGTCCCTTGATTGAAACTGCAGCCAAAATCTGAAAATTCATGCAAACAAACTTTGTTCAAAATTGCATTTTACAGTACCTCAACCTCGGCTTGTTCTTAATTTTTTATCAACCTTGAGTTCTCATAAAATTGTCCTTATAAAACAGAGGGCATGCTGAACATTGAACATTTACTGTTGTGCTTTTATACAGGACATTATAACTATAAAGGTCAATAAAAAGCCATGCTAAAACCATACCTGTAGTATCTGCTCTGTAGGTAACTTGAAGCTACCGCTTTGGAAGTATGTGTTGCACTCCCAAAATCTACAACTTTCACACGGTATGGCTGTCTATCGTGGTCAACAAGCATAATATTTTCAGGCTTCAGGTCAGAATGTATGAGGGCCATGCTTTTCAATTTGAGTAATGTTGTGCAAACTTGGTGGAGTATAGGTCGTACGTATTTTAAAGGCAATGGTCGGAATTTTGTGCTTCGGAGAAAGTCATAGAGATTTTGTTGTAACATTTCAAAAACAACACACGTGTGATTTCTATGTGTAAAGCACTCTACAGCACGAACGAAGTTATGTTCTTCTGAATCTTCGTGCATCAACAAGCTTAGAATATTTACTTCGATCTCAGCCTGTTTCTTGTATGATGGGTGATCTTTCGATATTTTCACAGCAACCAACTCATTCGTGTGTCGTTTCCAGCACTTCACAACTTGTCCAAAGGTCCCACGACCAAGAAACTCCAAGACTTCATATTCACCAGTGTAAGAACGAAGTATTTCATGTGCCGTGATTTTGTAGTCATAAGCAGAATCATTGTCAGCAACCTGCTCATTAGAACAATTTTTAGCAACAAATTTCTGATTCTCGGGTGTATCATCTGGAATTACTATCGTTTCTCTAACTCTTCGACGATTCGTTCTGCCATCGTTCTCGGCTCTGCGCCTCTTCTGTTGTTGTCGAATTCCCATGTTTGTGTGGTTCTGGCTGATACCCAGGTCTGCCTCAGGATGCCTGCTAAAAACAATCGGTGCATCACTGCCAATTGTACACGATTCTTGGTAATTGCTGCTCGATCCATGTTGGTGCAACATCTGATCATGTCGTGGAACTTCGGGTAGGTTAGGTAATATGTGAATCGCCATATTGCAGGTTTATGCCTTGGCACTGGTTGCTTTCGATACTGCCAGGGTGCGATTGTTAACTCGAAAGCTATCAAATACAAGCATCATCGCTGCTAAACAACTGAGAGAATATATCGTTCTTCAAGCAAAACATAATGTTATTTCTTTGTAAGCAAAATAGCGTCCTACGTGAGAAAACAGTAATATTTTAACCCGAGCTCGGATCAAGATGCCATTCATCTCACGAATGCTAAACAAGATGAGAACTAGGCAAGCCTTTGAGCGTTCGAGTGATTTCTGTTGATATAAAACTAAACTTCTTTGCTATAGACGAACGATTTCGACATCAGTTTGATGTTTTGGGTGAAATAAGCCGGTGGCAAATGCTAACAGGTTCCTTGCTTTCAGTTCATTTCACTCATCCATGATGTTGTCTTGGTGGAGATACACATTTCAGCGTTTACATATGTTAGTGAGGAAACGAATCCATAAAAACAAGAGCCTCCTTTAATTATTAGCTTCATAAAACAGCAACTTGGTGATTCGTGCTGAACTGAGGCATCTACAACGTTCTCACAACAGCTCTTTCCATTTACTCATCGCAAATAACTGCAAGACCTGTCAGTTCACACAAGCAAATTCATCAGGTTGAGGTCACAAAAATTCTGCCACAGTTAGAAGCAATCATGCAATAAAGACCTAGCGTCCGATAAAAACACTTGAAAGTACTAATTTTGGCACAAATCAACCTCTTGCTCTCCTTTTCAATAATCAAGAAGCCCGCGATTGAAGATCGCCGTTTCCTTTTCCTTCTCAAAGTACTTTCACAACGTGTTTGTCCTTCTTTCTCTTCGATCAGTTTGCGTTCACTCGCCCTTGCTGGAGGTCTGGGAACAATAAATTTGACGTCATTGCTCCAGCACAATCTTTCCTGCGCAATACCAGTCTTTCTGGTGCCCCGTTCGCCCAAACAAATTTTAGATGCTTGGCCTCCAAAGATTCGGGTTTATGAGAAATTCATTACATGCTTGACTTTTACCAGGTTATTAAGCTTAAAACAGCACATCAAGTAAACTAACAGCGTGCACAAAAGAAACATCTGATGTGTAGTGAATCGAATGTAAAGTTTTGTTTTTTTTATATCCATTAATAAGTTACAATACATAAATACAAGCTACGCTACTTACAAATTTACTTTACAATACTACTCGGACGATACCCCGAGGAGCAAAAGACTATGACTACCCCGGGCCCGGGGCCATAGACACAGAGGTTAAAATAAACTACTATAGTCTGTCTCAAATTACATGCCCGAGAAATATCTGCGATCAATTCAAATTTAAATAGAGGCTTATTCGAAGGGGAGGCGCTTTTTCGAAGTGGGAGGCCATACACAAAAATTTGCTGCTACTCGGAATAAATAATGGAAAAAAAGTCAACTTTAATGCATCGAACTGCAAACAGGGCAAAGAAAAAACTGTAAGCCTTTAGCTTAGAAAGCAGGGCCTAAAATAGGAAATCTTTATAGATCCACCTATTCTTTTAAAATATAGGCATGGTACCATGTTTGCATTCATACAATGGGCGTGGCAAGTACAATTAATATCCTGCCACTCCTACATTAATGCTAATGACATCCTAATTGGGCAAGATCTTAAATATGAAATATCAGAAACAAAACAGATCTTTTAGCAATATGTGAAATCGGTTAATAAGACAATTAGCATCAGTTTGTGATGTCTTTTTTTGTCACCAAAAGATTTATCGAAAGAAAACCCTTTAAATTAGTTTTCCGAAATCACTGTCAAAGATGTCTTTTCTTTCCCTGCATCTCCAAAGGCTCCCCCAAAACCAATCTTCAAACCATTCAGGGTCATATCTTCGCAGCCGAATGGAAACAAGATCATACAGTATTTAATGCAATGTCATATATATTTGCTTAGTGTTTCTGGAGCTATGATGCTTTATCAATCCGTTTTCATTCTTAACATTCACATCTTCGAATATTTGCCAAATAATATTATCTGTCACTGACATACAAATTGTGGCTGTCTTGTCTGTCTTCTTGTTTTTTCACACAGTTTTACACCTAGAAGGCCAAACATCTTACTTAAGTAAGCATCAGAATTAGAAACAGTGTTGTTAAAATCAATGTTCAAAACTTGTTGGAGAGGAATTTTCCAGTTTCAGAGAGTGAGACTCGTCAATTGTTATTTTCAAATGTCAGTGACATTTTCTGTCATGAAATTCCGCTTCGGTTCTTTGACCACCTGAAAATCACAATGATTGATTTTTACGTAAACTGATTTAACTCATTTCTTAAAGCAACCTTCTTAAAAAGTGGTAAAATACATCAGGCTGGGATTTGGTTTTCGTTTTGCATCGGGAAGCATTTTCCTAATGCTATTATTCAATTTTAAATGTCTCATTGGCATTTTACGCAGCACTTTTAATAAAATGTCATTTTTACAAATCCACAATTTCTACAATTATAGACCCGCAAATTAGATTTACAACTCCATAAATTAAGTCAGATCCACGCTTATTTTAGGCCCTCTAGGAAAGTCAAAAGCAGAGTGTCATATGGGGAGCAGTTCGATTCTACACTACGGCAGACAATTTGTGTTATAATGCTATCTAATTTTGACAATTCCTCGTAAAAAATAATCTTTACACAAAAAGAACTTTAAAACTTGAAATTTTGATCCATAGCTATCTATGCTACCATTTCTTTTATTATCAGACAAAATGAGCCTGTAATACAGAAAATAAATCAAATAATTGTAAAACGAATATAAGACTTGTTAATTGGCAGTGAAGGCTGTGAAAAAGTTTTGAGAAACATACTCTGTTTGTTTTATAGCGGATAAATTTTGTTTGTTGAAAAAATATTTAGATTTTATATATCATGGATAAAATGAAATGGATTTTAGCAAACATAATGGATGATTCATCAAAAAATTAAGTGGACTTTGTTATTTGCAAGTGACAGATGAATTCTAAAAATCTAACGAAACAGTCAACATATTTTTAAGTGAAATCTTTTTATCATTTCTCGCGGAGTGTTGCTCTAGCAAATTTAGGACAGGGATTGTTGTAGACGGGGACGGAGACTTTCAGAGTTTTAGAAGGCAAAAACAACAATAGTTGTAAAATCAGTCAGCATTGAGTTATTGGCAGAAATTTTTTTGAGAATGTTACTAAATAGAAAATACTTTTAAGTTAAAATATCAAAACTCAACTTCAGTATCCTTATCCACAAAAGTGTTTTTATTTGAAAAAGGATTTCTTTACCAGTTGAAACTTTTAGTATTTGTAAAAATTGAAGAAGAAAATAAAAGTTGGTAGGAAAAATGAGGGACATTCTACTTATATATCACACTTGAAAATCCCAAAAAAGGATCAAAAGTCCAAAACCTCTTTGGCCCATAAACTCTTCTTGCTTAAGGCAAAATTACCCCTTGTGTCGGGCAAAAATAATTTAAGAATAATATTAGGCTCAACATTGAATTTCTTAACTAATATTATGGATTGTGCCAGGAGTCTTGGTAAGCTAAAAATAACAGCCAACATGCATCGGCTGTCGATTTTGCATGTGCTTGCTTGTTCATGTTTTGTTATTTCTCTGCGGAGGAGTAGCATTGCTCTGCATCTCGTAACTTCAAGTGAGCAATGTTTCCGAGACGCTTCAACATTTCAACAACTTCAACAACTTTGCTTTATAACTTTATAAACTCTATTGATGCATACACTTTTTTTTCTAAACAGTATTGTATTTTTTCGAAATGCAATAATTTCGCTAACATGCGTTGCTTTGTCTCTTTTTCTGCTGCTTTGCGATTGAGTTTTGGGCGCCATTGTACGTAAAAGTTGATCAAGCAGGCAAGCTGAAATTCTGCATTATTAAACCATTGTAGTTCAGCTAAACAAGTATTGCGCAGTCTATTTCATATTTTTAGATCTTTGATGATTTTTTCCAGAGTACTTGTCTTATTTTGTTATTCAAATCTTAGCAATTGGTAACGTGCAAATTTTTAAGATCAACTTCAAAGAGTAAATGTTTTTGAAGGAAGGGTTTTGTTTCCTAACCTTGCTGTATATGTAAGATGTTAAAGAGATTGCTTTCTACAGCAATTAGAAATGCTTTAGATGCTTGCTATCTTTCTTAAGTGTCCGTTGCTGAACATTCAAGAGCAATCCAGCTCATCAGGTTTTCTGTATTGCTTCGGCTGTTTTTGAATTTCTTAGATTTTTCTAAATGTTTTTCACTATTCACTAGAAACATAAAGTAAGAACAACCGTTCAGTAACAATAGGCTTTACAGCGCGTTTACGATCTAGGCAGCCTTTCCACTAGCCTGGGTTAAAACATATCCGGGTTAAAAGTTATCCGTTTTTAAAGTGAGTCAATGGAAACGGCACTTTTCTTCGACTCGTTTTTAATCCGTTTTTGATCGTTCCCACTAAGCCGGGTTAAAACGTATCCAGGGTTAATGTTGTAAGAGAAATCAGTATTTGCATCAATAATCCTTCAATTTCTATCGTTGTAGGCCAATAGAAGCAACATTGACATCCAGGTTTTTTTTTATTTTTGGCGCCATCTCAATTTTTAAACGTTGCTGTTGTTGCAAGTGGGTTAGAAGGATATTCCTTACTCTATGGTTAGAAGTTATCTGGGTTTCGGCGTTTCCATTAACTTGCAGGTGGGTCAAAAGATACCCGGGTAATTCAAGAGAATTAGCCGATTGGATATTTAATAATAGGTCAAGTTCCGTCGGAACGACATTCATGGTGAGGGGGGCTGTCCATAATTTTGTTTCATTCAGTAAACTGTTATAAAGGAAATATAATACAGCCTGACAATTATTGGGGGGAGTCCAGACCACCGTTGTTCCTGTGGCCTATATTCAGAGCCGGGCTTAGGAAAGGGCTTAGGAAAGGCCGTTGCCCACGTTGAAAGACCGCCACCATGGTTGGCGGCAAGAAACATTTTAGAATTATGGTGTCTTAGGGATGGCCAGAAACTGTATCTAAAATGGATTGTGGCTGAATGTGTCGCATAGTCTCGTCTATTGTGATGTTGACTTGAAATAGAAAAGTTTTGCAAAGTTTTAGAATAACCACTATCATCTAGCTCGTAATGAAATCTTTTTTTAGATTTTAAGATTTAAGTACCCGAAATAAGATAAGGGAAAAAAAATAAACGAAACAAGGTTTAATAAAAAACATTAACGTTGAAATATCAACTAGAAGAACTATCAACTAAAAGTAAAAAATTAAGCAATTTTGATGCTCATATCGATAAGATCTGTTAAAAAAGCAGCTAAACAGTTAAATTCTTTGAAAAGATTGGCAAGATTTATGGGTGACAGAGAAAAAAAGATAATTATGAATTCATTTATACTATGTCACTTCAATTATTGTTCATTGACATAGATGCTATGTGGTAAAAGAAGTCAGGATAAGCTAGAGAAAATTAACGAGAGGGCTTTAAGACTAGCCTCTTTGGACTGTTCATCTTCGTACAAAGATTTACTTGCTAACTCAAAAGAAACTACCATACATGTCCAATCAGTTAGAATTTTAGCGCTCGAAGTTTATAAAACACTTAACAACCTTAATCCTGTTTTCATGAAAGACTATTTTGTACCAAAAACAACCCCCAAAACGATTCAAAAACCCCCTTGACATTCCAAAAGCCAGAACTACCAATAATGGTATCAGATCATTACGTTTTCAAGGGCCTAAAATCTGGAATTCACTCCCAGAATCAATAAAGACAGCACAAAATACTAGACAATTTAAGAATTTGACCAAAACTTGGTTCCTTGAAAACAAGTGCGCATGCTCGTTTTGCAGTAAATGAACTGTCTTATGCAATCCTTGA